TACTGCCAGAAGGGGTCAAACGTGCAACGTTCAACTTTGGCATCAAATATTCTAACATTTCAGGTACACTACCGGTTGTCAGATCCTTCATGCTTTTGCGTATCTATCTGCATGTAAACAGGACACCGAAAAGCTATCCCTGGAGACAATTAATTTTATTAACAACTACAAATGATGAAAGCCTGAAATGCAACCGATAAAATAGAAGTGAAGCTTTCACAGTCAATGAATAAGCCTTAGGTGGCCGCCATCAGAAGGTATAACATGGACAGAATTGAGCAGGCTGTAAAAAGCGGCAAAAAGCGTAAAAGCTGTGAAGGCCGTCTTCTCTATCGGCAAAAATAGGATGTATGCGTTGAGGAACAAGGAAGAAATTGCCAAAACCAATTTGGATAGGATAGTCGAGGTGGCAAAGCAGTTCTACAGAGAGCTGTACAGAAGTCAAGCCAATCAGTATGATATGATTAGGAACAAGGATAGTCCAGAGGACTTGAACATCGTACTTGTAACAACAGAGAAAGAAATGAAAGCTCCAGAAGGAATGCAAAGAGGCAAAGTCGCTGGTTAGCATAATGTAACAACGGACGTCCTGAAAGATGGCGGAGAAATATTGTTAGAAAACCGGGCCACCTCTCATACGAAGTGTCTCTTGAGAAGAAGGGCACCGTAATCTTGGAAGAATGCCAGTCATCTTTATTCATAATAATGAAGACGCCAAGGACTTTAAAAATTACACGACGATCAGCTTACTGTTCGTTCTTTACAAGCTATTACCAAAAATTATAGCTAATAGAATCAAGTCAATTATAAATGTAAAATTACAGAGAAACCTAGCATTATTTCGTACCAGCTTCTCATCAATAGGCCATTTTCATACTATCAATCAGGTGCTAGTGAAGTGTGCGGAATACAACAAACCCTTATACACCGCCTTCAAAGAAAACGAGAAGGCATTTGACTCAGTCAAGACATCAGCAATCATGCAGGCACTACAAATCAGGCCATCAAAGAACCCTACACAAACATACTGAAAGAGATCAACAGTAGCATCACAGCCACCATAGGTCTCCATAAAGAAAGCAACAGAATCCCAATAAAGAAATACGTAAAGCATGGTGACATGATCACTCCAATGCTATTCACCGCATATTTACAGCATGCTTCCAGTACACCATATTGGGAAGAGTTAGGAATAAGAGTTAATGGAAATTATCTTATAGTGCCTGCCATTTGCTAATGGCATTGATTTGATGCGTAACTCGGGGAGTGAATTACAGAACTGGACACGGATGCAGAAATGTTGGTTTGAAAACTAGTATGCACAAAACTAAGGTACTTTACGGTAGTCTCGGCAGAAAACAGCACTTTACGATCGGTGTAAAAAAGCTGCAAGTTATAAAGGAATCAGTCTACTTAGAATGGGAAGTAACCGCGGAATGGAACCATGAGAGTTAAATAACTAGAAAAATAAGGATGATGTGAATCACATTCGGCAAGCACTATCAAATCATGAATAGTAATCTGCCACTAACTCTCAAGAGGAAGGTATATTAAAGCTACATCTTGCCAGCACTTACCTACGGAGAAGAAACCTGAACGCTTACAAAGAGGGTTCAGCTTAAACTGAGAACGACGCGGCGAACGATTTACAGGAAAATGGTAAGTGTAACCTTAAGAGACACTAGCAGGGCAAGTGAGTCAGTGAACAAACTAGTTGAAATCAATAAGATATGGACATAGGCAGAACACGTAGCACGTAGTCAGGATAAGCGCTGGTCATTAAGGGTAACTGATTATATTTCCAAAGAAGGCAAACACACGAAGGGGACACGGAAAGTCAGGTGGGCTTTCGATATTAAAACGTTTGCAGGTGTAACGTGCCAACGAAAAGCACAAGACCGGGTGGATTGGCAGATCATGGGAGAGGCCTTTGCCCTGGAGTGGGCGTAGTCAGGTTGTTGATGATGATGATGATGATGATGATGATGATGATGATGATGATGAAACCTCGGAGTGTTAGTTTGCGTTACTCTAAGCGATGTCAAGAAGTGTGGAACACTATTTTGTTCTAGCTATGACATGTGGGGTGGTTACTTATTGAGTTTCACTGCTACTCAAACATAACGTAACATCTGACGGCTGGAGACCCTGGCGATCAGTGAATGAACAATGCGAATATAAATGAAATGTTTCTTTTGAACGAGAGGACGAGCGCCGCCACAGCTGACATGGCACTGCACCAGGCACTAAAGTCAGTGTTTGCAGTTCCGTCCCAGCAAGCGAAAGTTGCCGCTCTGTTCACTTCCCTTTCATCTCACCTAAATCGTTCTAGATACCATTGAAATATTATAACCAAAGCAAACAACACAATGCATCTTTCATTATCTGCTTGTTTTCATTAGGTTGCTGTCATACAAAAAAGCAAGCGTAACAATTTTTTGTTTCATTACTTTCTGGTTTTGAATAAGGTTGTGCCATTCCAAAAGACGAGCCCTTGAACTTCCATTTCATAGTGATTAAGGGAAATATGCGCAGCGGTGATATGCATTGAAGGAATGTGTTTTGTACTTTACTGAAAGCAATGCAAACAATTGAAAACACAACATTGACGAATATTTCTATAGTGGGCTTTCCATGATGCCGTTGCACCAAAAGGTGGAATTTATATGATGAGCCCTGTGTGAGCAGTGTGGTTTTCGCTTGGTTTTCATAAAATGTGCACTGCTTACACTGCTTCGCAAAGCGCTCAATCTGCAGGTTTTTTTTATTTTTGTTTGTTTCTCTCTTGCTCTGTTCCCTTGCAGTTTCTGGTACTTCTTTGGTTGCGTGCTTTCTCTACGTAAATGAGTGATTAGGATACCAGTTGATAGTCATATGTTTAATTGTGCCTATTTTTAGCACTAAGTTTGAAAATGTGGCAAACCTAGGTAAAAAAAATTTGTTCAATGTAAAATAGGGAAAACTTCCATGAAGTAAAAGTTATGCAATTTTTCTGAAATTAGATTTTTTTTTGTGGGTTATAACATCGGCAATAATAGCTTTATCATCTGTGTCTATACTTTCTTTCTTGCAGCTGGACATATAGTAATGATGATGCCGTCATCGGGAAGCAGAAAGGTATAAGCTTTTCATAGCGTGCCTCTTTTCTTTTTATACAACTTTAAAATAAAATTTGAATAGTGCACTGAGTTCTTAGTGATTTTTAATTAGATTAGCATAATGTGTGAAACTTCATTTACAGTGAAAACTAGGATACTATATTTTTATATAGTCTAATCTACTTCAACATGTTTGCGCATACTTCAGGTAGAGACGTATACGTCAGATATAAGCGCACAGGATAGAAAAGTTCACGAGAAGAAATGAGCTTATAGCGATGAAAAACTTTTGAAACGCGAAGTGAAGCTGAAACCAGATTTCCGACGAGTAGACTTGCCTTCTTCGATGCTACAACCTTAAAGTTGCAGCCTTGGTGTGAACTCCTCTTATCAACACATTGATGCCAGTGACGCCTTGTGTCACGAGAATCATCAGTGGAAATCCCTTACATCTAAACACGCTTAGTCACACTTAATTCACAATAATAAAGATGACAAAGAGCACACCGCTTCTTGGTACATGTCTCGTGAGTTAATTTTTATGGGTTGGAATAATTTCTTCCCCTCGCAAATATAGGCTAACTAGAAACTTCTTAAGTTAAATATTAGTGACCCAAATAATATTCAACCAAATCACGTAGACTTTTTGTCAGAGTGAAGCACACAGAGTGCACATGACTAATATTTAAGCACGGTAAATATTATCATCTATTCCACTCCTGAGTTCAGCCGCCACGCATCTTTTTAGGAAAGCCAAGGGAAGATCGGGCGAAAATACCAGTGGTCAACGCCTCTACTGTCCTTCCATATGGCAAAAGTTTATTTAGTAGAGTCACGTGAAATACCTAAAGAGTTTGCTTGTCAGGTTATGTTTTGGGACTCTCCAATTGCACCATAATAGCGTTAAAGAGCTCTTTTCGCAGAACTGCTTGCGCTGGCGTCATTGGTAACGAGCGAAAAATTACTTTGCGTGCAGGAAAAATCGAAAAAGATGCTAATAAAGTTAATAATAAATTCTGAGTCTGAGTAGGGATTGAACCCGGGTGTTCTACTACACTACCACGCCTCTGCTCGTGAATACAGTGAAAACAGCTTCATCTTCTTGTAAATGCAGTGAAAGTAAATTTTATGCTTTACAAACACACGCGTCTTGTGTACAATCTTCCAAACACAACGTGAACATGCCGTACTAAAGCGTAGCACAAGCGTGCAATGCCACCGGGCGTCAGAATATTGATTATCATAATGACTTCATAGCTTAAAACCAGCCATTCCCTACAAAAGGAACCCGCCTTACTGCAACCTTAGGATTGCACACGTGGTGCACAGCAACTTCGAAAAGATTTCATTCAGTAAGAATTTCAAGTACACACAAGAAACTGAATATCGCTGTGGCGTTCAACTTGTTAAAGCGAAGCTTAAGGCACCCACCCCCCCCCCCAAAAAAAAAATTAGTGCTACCGTAATAATTTTTTGTCTCGGTGGCGTAAACTTCTCTTGTTTTCTCCTAAATGAGGGTCCTTTTTTGATGAACGGTCATGCGGTTTCCTCACACACGTGTTTCTACTGCGCATTTTATGTTTTTCCATTAAACAAAGGCGCGAACAAACAAAATACATGACTTATCTGTAGCATCAAAGCGTGCTGCTCTCCCTTCGTTGCATTTTTCTGGGCTGATTGGATGTAGATTCGAAACATTAATTTGCTGCTGTATATTTATGGTGTAATTTGGTCATGTTTGTCATGATTGGAACATGACATTTCCTATAAAGAATATATCGTACGGTGGGAAGACAGCTGTCCTCACACCGGTGTTGTTTGGGCAGTATCCAATCACCATGATGTGCACACTCTATGAAGGTCAGTGAGGGACTAGTAAAAATTAAAGTAAAATACTTACAGGACTGACATTGATACCTACGGAACCTAGGTGGGTTCCAGACTGAAAAGGAATTAGAGCAATAAACAATGCAGAATATAAACCTGTGTATCATTTCAATAATTTGTTTAGTCAAGCTAAAACATCTAATGCGTTATGAAAAACACCATGTCGCCAAAAGTTGTCATGTCAACGCGAGAACTCACGAATAACTGAAAACCTACAGCAGCTTATCAAGCCTCACTGCAGACAAGGCTTGCGGACACTTTGTGGTTGTCGTGACATTAGAGAAGGGCGTTTCGCCAGACCCTCAATTCATAGCCGGAAAAACGCGAAACACAGGCAATAAAAAGAGCATTATTCATTATCCCAAAAGAAGAATATGTTTATGAGAGACGTCATGGTGTAACGTTCCTTGAAATTTCGGCCAACTGAGGTTCTTTAGTATGCACCTAATTCTAAGAACAGGGCCTTTTCGCCCCCACTGTAAATGCAGTTGCCGCGGCCGGGATTTCATTCCGCGAGCAGCTATAAAAAATAAACATTAAGGTTGAGCGACTGAAACACTTACCATCCATGGACCAGAAGTGGGGCTTAATGGCGGTGGAGGCTGAAAAGAATATAGTACGGCAATTTAAAATGACAAATGCGAGCATACACATAAGCGCAACCTTATTCACTCGTATATCATTTTAACAGCACCATTTACAAAGTTGCAGTCAAGATTGTCTAGTTACCCACACTCTGGTGAAGACGCGATTTCTGGGCAGGTTGCATATTTATACTATAGGCGTCATATGAAACCCGAACAGCGGAGCGCGTGTTTCAAGCATTAGAAACAGTATAGTGTTGGCAGTCCAGTCATCACCATTGACAGGCGTGCACATCCGGTTTGACAGCACTGCGCGATCCCCCTACAGTGCGTTATTCCCGTTTCTGCTCTTAGTTCTCGTATGGTGGTAATGGTGGCCATCGTGGGCGAGCCAAGCGCTTTCGATCGTATCACTCACAATTTCTTGCTTTTACTTCAGCGTCGCAGGGCAGTCGGTGACTTGGCACGATAAAAAAATTAATCGATTTGTGGTTGATTTTCAAACGATCACTGCATCTCGTTCACCACCGCTGCTTCACATGCACCCTTCTTTCAGAGGCCGACCCAAAAACGCGTCACTTTACCTGGAAATGCCGAGCGTTTCTTCGGAAGAGAGAGCACGAATTGTTTATATTTACCGGCGCGAAGTGAAATAGCGTAAAATTGTCAGCTTTATGAACCGACTTTTGTCTACCATAAATAGAATTAGCCAGGAATTTCATAATGATGGACTCCGTGATGACAAACCGAGCTAGGATACTTGGCTTCGGCGGCAGTAGTTTAGCCTCCGTTTTTTTTTATTTTGTTCCTTTCGGATACCATGCCTGGAACACAAGCAGAAATATCGCACCATAGGGGGATCGCGCAGTGCTGCCACACCGCATGCGTGAGCCTGTCTGTGCCAATGACTGGTAGACGGCACGCCCTATGCCATTGATAAGGCTTGTGCCACAAGCTCAGCTGTTCGCGTTTCATTTGATGCCGATAGTACATACTTCCACACTGCCAACATACCGCCAACATTCGACAACCAAACTCGTGAATCAATTCCACTGAGCGGGCCACCTACGGGATGCTAAAAGCATATTTTTGCCAATGACCTTTCGCATTAAACACGTGCTCTTCAGACCTCTTTTGGTATCGCTTGCCTTCGACATCTTGGCATTTAAAAGTACGCCGCCTGCTTCTTCCCCGGTTTCTGACTGCTTTCTTGTTGTGCGTCTCCGTTATTATGTGTACAGGAACAGGCGAACGCTGCTATCATCGGCAACCCTTTGTGGCGGCCGGACGCGGCGACCGTCTGCCGGCTTCGAAGGTTCAAGCTCTTTCGTTTGTTCGTGGCTAAAACAGCCACCGCTTTGAAGCAACTTTGTGTGTTTAGTCGTTCCTTTTTCCCCCATTTCTTCTTACACCCTCAGCTGGATCAGCTGTTCTTGCCGCCGGCGTCGCATCTATATATATATATATATATATATATATATATATATATATATATATATATATATATATATATCTATATATATATATATATATATATATATATATATATCTATATATACATACGATGAGTAGATGATATAGAGTATAGATGAAATATATATATAGGATGTGGACAAATGTGGGGCTGTTGTCGTAATGAACAAGTCTGATTACGAAGGAGAGGCCCAAAGACAGCTCGCAGACACGAGTTTTACAAGCGTCTGAATCACGACCTCACTGAACAATTTAAATCTCTTGTCCATAGCACTTAGCTAGAGCTTCTGGAAAACAAAAAAGGTGACTGACAATGCGATTCATTCTCTTATTCCCCAAAGTCAAGTTCCCGGCCGTTTTTACCTTTTGCCTAAAATACACAAGATAAACAACCCCAGCTGTCCCATTATTTCAGGTATAGGTACTGTCACAGAAAAATTGTCCAGCTATGTCGATTCTTTGATCAGTAGTATCCCAGCGTCACTTCCGTCTTACGTAAGGGACACTACCGACTTTGTTTCTGGTATAATTGATGTGATTATTCCTCAAGGTTCCTTTTGGTCACGCTAGACGCAGCGTCTTTATACACCAACATTCCGCATGTAGACGGAATAGTCGCAGTCGCCAGGTCCTATGAAACAGCATCACCGGGTAAATTTATCGACAGCAACACATTAGCAGTATTTCTCAGGCTCATTTTAGAGCTAAATAACTTTCAATTTGAAGGGCAGCACTACGTCCATGTTAGCGGCACGTCAATGGGTACGCGTACTGGACCCAACTACGCCAATATATTCATGGGCCAGCTTGACAGGCAATTTTTGCAAACCCGCGCACTGAAACCTTTTTATTATAAACGTTACATTGACGACATTTTCCTTATTTGGTCGTATGGTGATCAGGAGTTGCTTTCCTTCATATCTGATTTTAATGATGCCCATCCATCAATATCATTTTCTCGCACCTATTCCACATCAACGCTTAGTTTTCTTGATGTAAGCATTTCGATTGTAAATGATAAGCTATCCACTGCTCTGTGCAGGAAGCCTACAGACCGGCAACAGTACTTGCACTTTGACAGTAGCCACGTGAAACATTGCAAAACTAGCATCCCTTACAGTCAGGCCTTACGCTTTCAAAGAATCTGCTCAGAGCAATCAGAGTTTTGAAAAATCGCAGAACACTAAAGGATGCTCTAGTCAAACAAAAATATCCGCCGCAATTAATTTATGACGCAGTAAAACGTGCCGACATGCATAATCGTAGAACGCTGTTGTGCGCTGCTAAAACCTCCACTTCCTCACCGCAGACAAACTTAGTCCTTACCCATTCTGCGTCAGTTCCCCGTGTTTTGAATGTGCTGAGAAAGCGCCACAATATTCTAATGCAAAGTGAACGCTTAAGAACCATTTTCACCAAACCACCTAAAGCAGTGTATCGCAAAGCTAAAACTATTCAAGACATACTCGCATCGTCATCATCGTCGAAAGCTTACAGTCCTGACATGATCGGGTGCCATCCTTGCCAAAAACTGCGATGCAAATTATGCCCGTACATGCGCACATGCCAACAGGTCACCAGTATTGGTTCCAAGTTTTTCTTAAAGATCAAACGCAATCTTGACTGTGATTCTAGGAACGTCATATACCTGATAGAATGTACGCTATGTGAAATACAGTACATTGGTCAAACAGAAGGGCCTTTTAGACTATGTTTTAACAACCATAAATCTCATGCTAACACCTTGCCCCACTTGCCTATTTCAAGACACGTGCACCTCCCTGACCACTGTTGAAAATCTACAGACCACATTATTAGAATCTGGTTTCCGCACAAATTATGATAGAGAAGCCCGTGAATCATTCCTCATCTATAAGTTCGACGCCGTCGCATCTGGTCTAAATGAAAACGTAGGAAAACTTAGTTGCCTATCTGCGTAACCTGTGTCACCCTGTCCATCTTTTTCAACCTTGCTCAGCAAGTCGCACTACATTGTCTGTATCGGTTGATTACGTAGCAGCTTTGTAATGTCTTTGTGATTTTTTTTATTATTATTTATAGTTTTCTTGTTTTTTCCCTTGTGTTTACCGGTCGGACTACTCTTTATGTTATGTGCTTTATCTTTTATGCGTTTTATCTTTTATTTGCAAACAACGTGCTCGCCAAGTGCTCGCGCATGGTAACAACATCTTTTTACTCGTGTAGCAGGTGCCCTTCAAATTGTGTGACTTGCATATATATATGCCCATATATCGCCTTTCATGCCGGTTTTCATATTTGTATCTTTTTGATGTGCACATGTATATAAACAGCACTCGTGCCTTAAACTGATGAAGGCCGTACCCGCGGCCGAAACGTCAATGAAATCACTTCCTACGTGCGTCTTCTTCCCTGCGATATATATATATATATATATATATATATATATATATATATATATATATATATATATATATATATATATATATATATATATATATGATGATGTGGATTGTGTGGCCCGTGACGGGGCGAAGAGGGAACGGCAGTTCTGCTCTGCGGTACGCCTTGGAGGCGAAGACGAGAGAAAAAGGAAAGCGCCGGAGCGGGGCGTGCGGCTCGGGGCAGTTGGAGCGTGACACAGTTCGAACGGCAGCTGCTGGTCGGTGGTTCGGGTCGCGACATCGCTTAACCAGGCGTCCGGCAGCCTTGCGGACCTGGTGAGCTGGCTTCCTGCTTCGGGCTGCGTCACTCAACCAGGTGTCCGGCAGCCTTGCGGACCTGGTGAGCTGGCTTCCCGCTCTGTGGCCGGCGCTGACACGGGGACCAGCAGCATAGTCTGTTAGTGGCCCGAGGTCCTGGGGCCAGAGTGGTGGCACGAGGTGGCCGCGGCTCATGTTGGCGACGGGCCATCAACCTGCACTGCAGTGGCCTGGTGATCTACCGGCCTGCAGCACCACCATCACCACCATCACCACCTCACCACGGTCAAGGCAGCGTGACTGCACAAGGAACACCGGTGACGACCGACCTCGCCGCAGCAGCAACAGTCATAACGGCGAGTAGGACAGTTCGTGTGCCGAAGCGCGTAGGACGTTTGGCATGTAAATAAGGAACGCTATAGTGTGTTGTGTGTGAATTGTAAGAGTTATCGGTTGTGTTAAAGTCTGTGTTGTGTGTACAGAGTCACCTGACTGCCGGTTCATTTATTCCGGATCCTGGGCCCACATTACACCATAACAAACTTGGCGAGCCTGCCAGGCTCCCGCCATTAACATCTCGAACGCGGAAATCGCCAGTCAGGTGTGTGCACGCAGCACAAGACGAGAGGCATGGATCTCGATAAGTTAGCGGCTGTAGCAGCTCAGTTAGGCTTGTCTGGTGCGGAACTTCACGAATGGATTGAGCGAGAGCAAGTTAGGCAGAGAGATGAGCGCGCAGCTGAGAGAGAAGAGGCCAAAGAAGCAGCCGAGAGACAACGGTTAGCGGACGAGAGGCAACGGTTAGCAGACGAGAGGCAGCTGCAAATCCTCCAACTTAAGCTCCAGCTTCAAGAAAGTGCTCAA